GAGGTGGAAACGAGATTTAACTACTACGTTTTACTTAGTACCTACAATAAGAATTAATTTATATTAAGGCTAAATTTCATTTAAAGCAAGTAATGTCAGTTTCGTGCTGAAGTAATGATGGGTGCTATTTTTCTAGTCTTTTGTATATATCAAATAACTATATGTATGTATCACTTAAATGAAATAATAGTGTGTTATTTACGTCAAGACCTATATTTGTCTTTCAGTACAAACACTAAACAAAGCCAAAAACAAAGCGATTAAAGTACCCACCCGTTACGTATCACCGAAAAAAATCATGATGCAACAATAAACACGGAACGTGAAATTGTGGCAAAATGACAAAAAAGCAGTAAATTGAAAAGCCAAGCAATTAGCTCTAATCGCCACGTGTCATGCCACAGACTATCGACCAAAATGTCCAAAGTCGCTTTTTAAAATTTAAACGGGCCATTCGCCCGGTCGATACTAACAAGGAATCGTACCGCGCTAAGTACTGGCTTCGAATGCGGTTCTATTTTGAATTTGTTTATTTTTAATTATCATATTGGCGAAGGAGGTTTTAATTATCTACCTACCCTATGTCTATACTAGATTGGGCTGGGCGTTATCTGCACTAAGATTTTAAAACTAAATAAAAAATATGAATAGCCAAAAGTAACTTCAATAAGGCTTTCGCGGTCATACAAAGGCTTTTAGGTTTTCGAGCTGTTTGGCCGCAGAATTTGACAATGAACGAACCAGCTCGAAATCTCAAGAATTATTGTGCAAAATTACTGATAATGCTTTAAATCTCCGAGTCTCTGGCTCACTTGAAGGTAGCAGAAATGCTTTAGCCCTGTAACTGTTGCGTTGTCTACCTATTATGCCTTTAGACATGTGTTCCACAAACTGAAACCGAACGCAATTTTTTCTTTACGATTAGGTTTTTTGTGAATGAAAATTTAACCTAGTAAAATATTTTCGCCATGAAATGATATATTCTAAACGCTTACGGTTAAGCACTGAGCCATGACGACTGTATACATTCAATTAGTAGGTGACTTCTATTCCTGATTTGTTTATAAAATAGGTTGACCGCGCAACATTTGATGTCACGTGGCACATTGCGCTAGATGTAATAGTATTATATATTAGTCATCGTATTATAGACGCGTTAAGGTAAATAGGTACTTTATACTGTGTAGGTATATAATTTTGTTATCGTGTTAAAACAAAGAATTAAATAAACATTCATTGTTTGTTTTTTGTTTTTTTTTGTGTTAACTACCTTTCCTGCGTTACGTTACGTTGCATTGTTAAACGCGTTACTTTAAAAGGTTTTAAACTTGGAAAAGTATGTAAAAAATGTGTTAAATTGAAAAGCTCCTAGTAGTACAAAAATCAGATATTTGCTATATATATATATATATATATACATAATTAAACAAACAAATTTAATAAGAGACTACAGTAGGTACACCTAAGTTTGAAATAAAGTTTTATTTCAATCTTATAATAAATTACGACACAAACACATCTATCAAGGAAGTGCAATCGTTCGAATAATATAAATATAGTCGATAAGATATAATATAGCAATTCAATGAAATAATTATAAATTATTTCTTTTAGTAAATCAGCTGTTTGGTTTTATGTTAAATTCAAGATGTCCGAGAAAGTGAGAAGACGTTGAATGTATTGAGAGATTTATCAATGGTAATGGTACAAATAAATATAGAAAACTAGTGGGTAGGATATAAAAAACCGACCTGTACATTTTTCTGTGCTTGTTGTTACTGTTCGATCTTGTCTACAGGTAAGTAAAATGACCTACTTGCTATTTTTAATAACTAAGTCTGTCTATTTTTATATAGCTTGTTTCTATTTAAATGCAAATTTTCAGAAAAGACTTTTTGTTATGAAAGAAGTATTGAATTAGGTATTTCTAGCGCTGTAGATACATGTAGAAAGCTAATAGTACTTATACGTAGTATTTGTGAGTATTGTTCATTTAAATAAAACACTTTTAACGGTTTCAACCTCGAAATATATTAGTTAACTTTTATTACGACGTTTCGGATGTTTTGCAGCAGGCTCCCGCGATCACGGCTGCTAATATATTTCACGTTTTAAAACGTTAAGATTGTTTTATTTATATAGAAATGTTATTAGAAAATCTATCTTTGTGTTTTAATTTACAGTGTCTTGAAACATGTTAAGATAATATTTCATGTTATAGCAGGTAAGTATTCGACACAATTTCAGCCTCAAAAAAGCAATAATCTTTGCAAAATAGCGTAGCGATCAAATCTCTTAATAAATTCGCGTGACGAAAACAATAAACGATATTCAAATAAAGACCTAGAAATGAATGAAACCAATCACTCCCGTAATAAGTCTTTTAAACTGAACGCGGTACAAAAATATCACTAGTTCGTCAACCCGAAATTGACTCGTTCACTCAAGTTTCCACATAAAAATAATAAAAATGCAAGGCCATAAGGTCGAAAATCGCACGCCACCGAACACACAGACGTTAGCTCAGTGTGTGCATTTTGCACGCGCGATCTAGGAATGCGAGGACTCGTATCAACTTCACTCTAGTGTAATCAAGTTCATAGATTAAGATTGGCGTTCCAATAGCATAAATTACATATAACAGTAATTAGAGCGTCGAGCTTGGCTCACCTTAAAAAGGCTGTGCGGGCGCAGTCCATAAGCACTCGGGAAAGCGATCTCTCCAAAAATATAGTTCACTTACACTTAAGTTTACCTAATTTTGCACTATGACATCACAAACGTTCCTAAGGCACTAAGGTCTAGATCACAAAGTTGAGCAATCGTTGTTCCGGAGCGAGGTCCAGTCAAAGTTCGGGAAGTGAGAAAGTTCTGTGCACGAGTTGGCTCGGGGCGGTGTCTTTTGGCATTTTTCGTGTGTTTTCGTCGGGCGAGACGCGCGTGCGGGGGCAGCTCGCGCGCAACTGAATCTTGTCGTAGGTTAAGTTTAAAAAACACCGCTACATCAATTTTCCGCGTTCCTCGCCGGGCTATTCCGCGCCGAAAACGTCAAACGGCGCATCACTATCGTCTCTGTTTTGACAGTTCGTATCGGCGACCATGTGCCCGCGGATGCAGAGGGCGCAGCGGTCGCAGCGAATTACGGCGAACGGCGCGAACTAGCAACGCGCGTAAACACAACGAAATTACTGCCACTTTTCATTATTTTATTTCGCTATGCACTTGCACCGGCCGACGTCACAGAAGCGGCGCTATCGCTGTCCCTCTCGCGCGCGCGGCGCGGGAATTCTTTTTCAAAACGTCAATGTCAATTTCGAATTTCGAAACGCTCGCGAGATATAGAAACTGTTCGGTGTGTCGTTACGTAACGGCGCGCTGGCTGAATAGATCGTGCATGCGTGCACAGAACTGCATTTGCACTGAGACTAGATGACATTCACAGAGGCTTAACTCAAGTTCATACGGATGCGACGCCAATAAACTGTTCGATGCGATGTTTGCGCGTAATTTCGTATTACGTAGACGAGTACGAGTCGCAGGCGCTTCGAGTTCTATATTCAAAAACTATTTATTTATTAGGCATCCATATTATTTCCACCGAACCTTGAACTCAGGTCGTCTCACGTCTGACCGTGGAGATCTGTACTGCAGCCAACTCTTAACATTGTTCACAAAAATCTAAACGAAGTAAAAATATCTACTTTTTTCTTAATTTAACTAGTATCTATCTATCCACACATCATTTGCTTAATTATAATTGAAGCCAGTTAAATCAAACTTATTTACTTAAACTTAAACTTATTTACTACTACAGACAGTATTTAAATCAAACTTTATAATAATAAAAGTATAAATATGATTTTCAACTTTCATGTTTATTGAATTATTCATTGCATTACTCATCTTCTATTATTACCATGTTGACAAAAAAACTGCACAAATGACGGAATTTTCAGGTCAAACGCGAGATATTAGACAATTAATTGCCCTCATGTTAATTGTTATATTTTTGCCCACTTCGCTGCATTAAGTAGGGCAATATTTGACTAGCTAAAAATTTTTGTGACACAATAATGACACGCAACGCAGTTTTGTGTCGCCTGCATTTTTATGTTAGAAATACATAAGGTCTGGAACATGTTAGACTTTGTTTGGAGAACCTGGGTATTAAATGAATAACCCGGATGCAATAAATATAAAAAAATCTACTTATCTATGGTTCAATTGTAAATATGTGTTTCAGTTCCAGTCTGTAAATCTCGGATGTCTTAAGCCAAGGTCGACGGCGCATCTTGTATAGATGTTTTAATATGACTGGGTTATTTTAACTTTCTTTAAGTGGATTCTTGCTTGAACAGTGTAATACAAAACGAGCAATATACGACATAAATTAAAACAATTAATTACTACATATTGTATATTAGATATTAATAAAAAACATTTTTTTAAGACAATGATCGTCAAGTAATTTTTAGTTTAAATAGTATAGGGCATTTCCATTCCAAAACAAATTTTTTCCTGACTGTAATAATGACAAAGACCTCCCTTAACTCATTGGTTAAAGTGTCGCACAGCATAGCGTTGTCTGCGAAAGGATGTGATTTCAATTCCTGGGGTAAAAATGAGTGGGTTGAGCACAGCCCTGTGAACAACTAAGTAATTACATCTAAATGTCTCTTCCAGTCTGCGACACAGTAATATGTTTGCCCCATGCCCTACGAGGACAAAGGATTTTACCACATTTTTGATTTCATCACGCTGTGTAGATAAAGACTATTTGTATCACAGATAAAAAACTAAATGTTGCATTACAAGTTACAGCCAGTGAATGAAACGCCGTACCAACATTGACTTAATAAGCCTATAAATAATACACCGTTGCGTTATGCGAGCGCATAATGCAAAGCAGCTGAAAAGAATTCAGCGCATCAAATTCAAACTTCGAACTGAAAATTCCGACTTAAAGCCTCCCGAAAACCGTGCGAATTTCGGCTTCATTTTCATTCAGCGAAAGTAATCTCTTTTTTTTTCGGATCCTGCCGAATGCATTTGGCCTCGGAGCGGTGCAGCGGTGTCATTGACCCCGTGTATTCGGGCGACGTCCATTTAAGTTGGGAAAGGTCAGGCCTGTGTGTATGTGATTCGGGTGTGTGCGTGGCTTTTACTTTCGCTCCCCGTTCGACAATGCAATTTTCCTTTTTTGAACTGTCCGCGTGTTTAATTTCGTCGCTTTCATCTGGTCGGATCAAACGTTCGAAATTCGAATGGATTATTCGGGCACGTAACGGTATTTGGTCTACGTTCACTTTGATCACTGTGACGATGATCCATAGATCATAAATATTTATAGTTACTACCTTAACTTGTTATGTTATAGCCCTATAGTTACTCCCTTGTTTAGTCTATAATAGAGTTAAAAACTTAAGAATTTAATAACATTCTATTAATAGACAATATACTAAAAATACATATAAATATACTCACTGTTTGAATCTAATTGATATAACTAAATGAAAGTTTAACACAAAAACAACTAAATATTTGGTACATTTAAGTAGGTGTAGAATCTTAATACTGGTGTTTATAATACTATTACATATATAAAATATCTGAGTAGGTATGTGCAATTAATTATGAGTAAATATTATCGCCCAATTAAGACAGTACGAACCGCAAATACAAAGAACGTTATTCACCCGAAATTTCTTATCTTATCAGGTTTATCGTGTCACTGACCTGCCAATTCTGTACAATTTGAGAAAGGTCATGGTACGATGTACGCGTCTCGCTCGCTCCCGTGCTAATAGTGCTTATCAAAAGAATCTGTCTCTGTTCATTACGGTACAATGGCCCGTTGACGCAGGTGCAACCAAAAGTTTAATTGATATTTGCAAGGCTAACATGTTTTGACTTCATAGATTTCTCGGTATAGATTAAACTGTAAATCCTGGGGGCTCCAATTCCAAAATGTCTGGCCTCTAATTACTGTACACCGGATGTGACGTCAGAATACAAAAATTGGTTCTTTATTATGTCTGTTGATTAATTTAAAAATCTAATATTTTCATTAACAGATTAGATATAGTTAAACATTATCATTTCGCGATTTCAATTGTAAAACAAATTCTTGTTTACATTTAAATAAAACGGTTTAAAACGCGATATATAGTTACACGGCAGCAGCCTAAATCTCGGGCTGTAATTCAGTCAAAAATAGTTTAACTTATATTTATCGCGTTTTAAACCGTAAATGGATTTTATTTAAAGTATTTTCTACATACGAGAAAATGTTACATTACTGGCAAAATGTATATAAATAATAATAAGAACAACTTAGTATGTTCATATCAAAGTTAAAGCTTTGTTTGTTCGCATGGTAATTTTCGATTTTTATTAACATAGACGATTCACACTGTAATTGGGCGTTACGGTCCGTAAGTGGGGAAGCGGTGAATGTAAAAATACACGTATTGAAATGAAGACTTGGATTTTAAATAAACCCAAAGCATTAATCAAAAATCAAATTCGTAAACCTTACGTTTGCCTACGTAAGACGTCAAACCCAGCTACTTTATTTTAAAGATGGCATATTAAGCAGATGAGTTCATTGATAAAAGTTACCTCATAAAGTAAAGACTACATTTTTTTTTATGATAGCTAGGAGAAAGAAAGTCCACTTTTAGCATAATAAGGTTTTTGACACAAGAAGACAAACCACTAGTGTTTACTTGATGGAAGGTTATATACTACAGCTATATAACATCTATATACGGTAATCTGTCGCTAGTATTTTGGTTTTGGGCATTTGGAAATCCGCATGCTGAAACTGCAAGCAAAATTTACCACTTCGTGGCTTTTTCAAATTTAAAGATTTTTCAGATGGAAGAACAACGAGATTTAAAAAATATAACAATTTTTAAAATATGAGCTTGTGAAAATCGAATCTACGACCCGTTCATTTCTAATCCTACATTACCATAAGACAATTTCCTGACACTCCATAACTCAGCTTATTTATTATAATAATCAATTAAAACGGCAACACTTAACTTAAACACTTTAACGGTTTAAAACGCGATATATTAGTGAAACTTTGTTTGCATTTTCCAGCCCGTACTGGTTAATTAAATACTGTCTATAGTTTACGCGAGTAGTAGATATTTAAATAAAACACTTTAACGGTTTAAAACGCGATTTTCAGTTAAACTCGTATGAAAATTATTTTTATTATTTTTAACCGACGTTTCGGATGCTTCTGATTTAATCGCGTTTGAAACCGTTAAAGTGTTTTATTTAAATACTCATAGGTTGTTATTTTATTGCTAATGCGAAACGGACTTTTATTCGAGAATACAAGACTTCGATCGGTTTTGTAACAAAATCTTGTGTATCTTTTTCTTGCTCTTTAGCGAAAGAAAGAAAAGAACAGTTACATACCTATTGTGTCACTCGAATCCCAGCGGTGGGAGTAATGTGGTGGTTAAAATCATATGTACATTATCAATCCTATTATATATCCGAGATGGCTATAAGGAAGGAAGTTAATTAAAGAAATTGATTTACCAAATATTGTTTTCTTAGTAATAAATTGTGGTTTTACCGCCGAAAATTAGGTTATTTGTCCCGAATTCGAAAATAAGGATAAAATTCGACAATGTCATTGCGTCAAGTCAATTTATTACACGTGTATTGGCAATTTTAGTTTGGCAAATAGGTAAAAACCTAAACCTAATTAAAATTATTGTAATTTTATTCTTTGAATATTTTTCTTGAATAAACGTTAGTCACCAATTAGGAATATTCGATGTACACTATATAGACATACATATTTTTCATAACAGATTTCCGTTTTCTGTGTATTACAAGCAAAAATTAAAGACCTTTAAAGCACTTGTTGTTGAAAAATAAAATTATTAACTGTTTAAAACTCGTAATGTATTAGTTAACTTATTTAATAAGCTGACCACACAAAGGTTATTTGCCACAGCTATGAAGTATTATGACTAAATTGGGTATTTTATTTCTAGTTGTTTTCGCTGTTCTCCCAACGGAAACCCACAAAGGTGAATAATTTTCCCATTTTTTTTTTCACATTTCCCACCGTTTCTTTGCTCCCATTGGACGTAGCATTATGTGTCAATAAAAGCCTTCATTGATAAATGGTCGAAGCCACGAAAAACCTCTTTTTTAATCAAACTACTAGTTGATGAGATTAGCGCGTTTAAATAAACAAACTCTTGAGTTCAATACTGTCTGTAGTTTACGTGAAAAAACACTTTAACGGTTTAAAACGACATATATTAGTAAACTACAGCCCGATACTTCGGATGCTCTCGGAGAGTCAGGCCGTAGTTAAAAATAATGTTCAAATAAGTTTAACTAATATATAACGCGTTTTAAACCGTTAAAGTGTTTTATTTAAACACTTCGGTCTTTTATATTAGAATAAATTTGACAGTACTTAACGAAGAGTAAGCAGGAAGTATTTTAATTTGAAGGTAGCCTAACTTTGATCTGATTTTTTCTGTATTGATTTATTCGTATTACCGTATAGTAAGATAATTACAAAAAAATAGAGAATTAAGCCATTTGACATTGCACATAGATCAACGCACGGACGGATTAGTGATAAAAATACACTATCTATCTACAATTGCATTCGGCGATAGCGCTTATCAGCTTTCCAATTTAGAAAAATATTGTCCTGTTCGGGTGAATAACCGGGTTTAGGGTTGGCAAAATATAAATTACTGACTCTTTAATTACTGAAGAGGACAGGCATTGCGTGGGGGGGATGGTAGCTGATATACCGATAGCCTCTAAACAGGATGCGCTCACAATTTTTGCTTTGGATATTGGGAAATCCAATAGAGCTTTATAGCTGGGGTGTCTCACCTACCATCAAGATATCTACCATCAAAAAAAATACTGACTAAGGCGTGTACAGTATAAATTATCAATTATCTACAATTCCATTTACAAATATATTTTTTAGGAGAGGTAGACATTTTTGTGAACCCTATTATGTCTGGCTGCAGTTTGTTTAGATTATCGAAATATTTAACACATTGTTACAGTTTACTGACCACGTGTCCCAATGCCTCTGTACACAACTTAGCAGTTGATAAAGACTTCGGTATGTTTATGTGTTTCTTTCTACCTCTGAAAAATTCTCTACACATTTTGAAATGTATGATTATTTATTTATTGCATTAAATAAAACGTAAAGATATATATATACCATAGATAACTTATTTATACAGAGTATAGGTCTGAGACCGAAACGCGATGCAGCGACTGGACTGGACAGTCTGGATCTGATGGTCATATGGTACTACCGGGATGTTTACCTAATTATATAGGGATCGTGGATTCGAGAGTCCGAGTCTATATCTCCCGGAGTCTATATCTGTTTACAATTTCTCTGAGAAGTTGTTATTAATTGAGTCGTAGGAATAACGTAATTCCGTCTGGATCACGAGCCACAGACCACATATAAAAAAATAAGTTTCATCTGATTGCGGTTTTAGTCTGTGGATTTTCGGAGATCCAAGGCCAAATTTTACCGGGGTATCTTAGTGACGTGTGCTTGTCTGTCCTTTTCTGTCTTACAGAGGTAGTTAAGTAACATACAACTCTAGAATAGACAGAAATTTTCTGTTTCATTCATTACACGCTAAATGTTGCTCGGAGCTGTAATGTTTTCTGCTCGAATTTACCTTTTGAATTGTTGTGTGCGTTATCTGAACGTCACTGACCTATCCAATGGCAGACGAAATACGCACAAGCCCTGGGTAGAGTAACAGCGGTAGTGTAGCTTAATATTCACCAAAACTAACCCACATCTATACTAATATACAAAGCTGAAGAATTTGTTTGTTTAAACGCGCTAATCTCTGGAGCTACGGGTTTGAATTTAAAATTAATTTTTGTGTTGGTTAGAACATTTATCGAGGATAAAACATCGCTACGACTAATAGAAGCGAAGAAACAGCGGGAAATGTGGAAAAATGGAGAAATTTAATCTTTGAGGGTTTCCCTGCTGCGAAAACGGTTCAACATACCCAAAAATATTTATGAAATATTTCCCCTTTAAATGATCTAAAAAATGGTTCGAGACACTGTATATCTATGTTTTAAATTAACTTGCAAGAACCACGGGATGCGTCCGAAGTCGTGGGCAATAGCTTAAATTTATAATGGTGAGGTTTGAAAAATCAAATTTGGATGCCCAAAATAAATATATTCTACGAACGAAGTCGCTGATACAGTTAGTTTTTATACAGCAGCATTCTCCTTAGTTCTTCTCTATCATAGAAAACTGGCATCTACAGCGTTCCGGGCCTGCTCTAGTCGGTTCAAGTCCCGTCTGTTATTTTTCAATCAAAATTAAATTTCATTTTATGTAATTGAACTGTCTGAGTACATACACATTTAGATTTCTATAAGAATATTTTTCTAGTTAACAAAAAGATATTAGATTTAGTTATGATAAGGGACAGGGCTGTTTAGTCTCCTAAGTAAATAAAGTAACGTCATCATGTGACACAAAATAAAGTATAAAAGCTTAACTTTCTCTTTACTCTAACCCCATTATCAGCTGTTAATTAGTGAATTCTAATTTCGTCACACTTATATTGAACTGATTATTTCATGAACGGGCGTTCGTGGGTTCAGGGCCCCTTTTGAATAATATTTTTATTGCAATGACTCAGTGGTTGGGACAGCTTCCTTTTTTAAACGTATTCATGCATTTATAAATTTATAGCTATAAGTTAGGGTATATTATAAGCATTGTATAATATTAACTATCAGATTAAAAAACAATTTTAAAGGAAATTCTTCTTCCTTTATTATTTAAATTTATTTGTTTTAAGATAATTCGATTATTTGTTGCCGCTATTATCTCTAGAGGTATATGTTTATTTTAGTAGTAGTTAGTTGGGGAATAAGTAATCATTTTATAACTGAGGAATACAGACAAACATGGTGTTTGTTTCATGGAAAGTCCCGCCATATGTGAAATAGGCGTCGACCTAGATGAAAGCCGTGAAGATTTTCGCTTTCCGGATCAGTCTGTGAATTTCCAAATATCCAAAGCTTATATAGGTCGCCAGCGCATGTTGTTGAGATGTTATATGGGTGGGATATTTCACCTTTAAGTGAACCTCGTGCTTGTCGGTCCCCCTTTATCATAACAGATAATGTCCCAAGGCCTCTCAGCTCTTCCTAAACGGCCGCGATAAAAGTGCAACAATAAACGCCAAAAAGATAACGCAAACGCAATATGTATGTCAGCTGATGTCTCATCAAAATAGGGGTCATTGAACTAGTCTGATTCACTGACTGTGACATTGTCCCTTTCTATCTTATCGTTGTTTTATTGCCGTCCTTGTCTCGTCACACTTTTTGGTTATGAGGTGGTTTTAAATTTCTGCCTGCCTTCAATGAATTCAAGTTATTTTGAATGGGGCAGACACACAAACGATTAATTCCTATAGTTTTCTTAGATTGTGAGAAAAAAAACTTTTCAAGTGAGGGTGACCATACACTCTCCTAGCTAATGAATAATAAATGTTCGTGAATGTGAATGTGTGAAACGGGCACGGAAATGTGTCTGCTATACAAAGGGTGACAGAAATGTACATGCGCGATAGAATTAAGGCTACAATTTAAATTACGTTACAAAATTCAGCACCCTGAAGCATTTATTGTACTAATAATATAAATGACAATGATTTTTAAGTTATACATGTTTGTACCACTTTTATGTTTAAATTGATGGATTTTGATCAAATTTTGAATTAAGATTCAAAACTTAAAACTGCGAATACGTATTTTAATTATATGTTAGTTCTAGCTCTTTAATAAGTATCTCTTAGAAGACTATGCAGGGTATCCTAACTTACATTTGTAATTCATGTTTCTGATTATCTAAGTGAACAGTTTGAGGTCTAAAAGAACAGTTAAAACCAATTTCTATCAAATTTCAATCACAATGAATCACGATTCTTATTTGTTCTATTTCTATACTGAATTATAGCTTAACAATGTTTTCTAAAGCTATATTATAGGTTAACAATTAATCATATCGTAATTTATTTTTTCAATGTAAAATCTCCTTTTTAATTTATTTAAAGTAGGTATAATTTTGTTTTCTAAATAAGTAGGTAGTTGCACAGTAGTTGTAGCCCAATTCACGCGTAAGAACCCTACAGAAGGTACATCGAGAAACGGCGTCAAGGTGCGACCATAACCTACGCCAATACGCCAATACGCGCGGCGGGCGCCAACCGCCAAATTTGCGTTCAAGGTCAGCGTCAGGTCCGTGACGTCATCGCCCTCCAAAACCGGGGTCGTTGACCGCGCAGCCATTGCGGAAACTGTGTTGCGCGCGTTCGGAATTCGAATTGGGGCCCTCGCGTGTGTGCGTGCGGAGCGAAGTGTGCGCGCAATTCGGGGGCTTCTTTTTTCGAATTTCGAACAATGCAATGGCGGAGTTCCCTTTCGTTTTGTAAATTTAATTGCGCGTACGAGCCCCGAGTTGCGCGGACTTTGCTAATTGTACCTAGGTTTGTCTTTTGTTCGGCGATTATTTCGCGAAACTAGAGCAGCTGACGAACTAAGCGGTGGCCATAGTTCAGAATAATTGTTCTTTAAAACAATCTCTTAATAAGTCGATGTGTAAGAACGAAAACTTAAGTTCCTACTTAACTGGGCTTTTACGTTTACATGTAAGTAAATGTCGTGTTATGGTCCTTAAAAATGTGAGCAAAATTTAATAACAATCATCCTATTACTTTCATTTAAGCTAAAGATTATTATCTATGTTACATTTACTACCAAAAGTTTCCTAATATAACTACCTAATACTTATTTCTATATAAAATAAAAGTCCCAAGAACAGCCAACGAAGACGCCATTATCCTCAATAAATAGTGATATAACTAGCGAAACCGGTTGGGGCTCACAAAAAATTATACAATGGCAGCCAATCATCTAACGGTGTTCAAATTTCGAACGCGCTCGAGTGGGGGAGCGTTAGACGCACACGCAGGCGACGTTTACTACATAGATGTGTAAAGCTGATGGTAGTATTTCTAATCGGTTCTCTATCGATAGATTATTTTTTTAATCATCAGTATTATTTTCTTAAGCTAACTTAAACAGAAACTTAAAGTTTAGAATTAGTATAAGAATTACGCAATTGAAATATCTCAATTTGACTGACTTATTAATAGTTAGAAATTCTGTTTTATGTAAACATCCTTAAATAAAATACTATGACTTAGGTTAAACAAGCCGATATTTCGCATTCCATTGTAGTCATCGCATATTTCACGTTTTAAACCGTTAAAAGTGGGTAAATTTATTGTGTAGGGCGTAAACTACAACTTAGGTATATGAACTACTTATTTAGATATCATTCCCTGATAAATAACTAGCACTATTTTAGGGAGACAGTTTATAAAAATTAGTCCCCATCTAGATACGAAAATAAACCTTTTTCTTCAAACGGGTTCGAATTTCAAATGTAAAGATGTTAGACATAATAGGTAGGTACAAAACCGGTTCTTTGTAAACGGTTATTTGAGTTTTTTGCGTCGTATCCTTCTTATTGCTACCTGTTTTAAACATAGATGTTAGATTATATACGCGGGCTTATTCTGGTAAGAATAGCTTGTATTGTGGTATTACTAAGTAAGAGAAACTTTGTAATAATATTTCTTTATAAGTAAGTAAACCTGGTGAAATCCCGTTTTCCCTTCTGAGCTATACGTTAGACACATTTCCATGGCCGTTTTAAGTAAGTACCTAATTAATTGTAAACAGATATTTTTTTAAATGAAGTACCCGTCGAGCTATGAAGGCATCTATTATGAAAACATAGTAATTAACACTTATGCCTATTTAAAATATTTATATACTATTTTTTTATCCTCCTATCCATATATTAAAGCAATTTTACCAAGTTCATCTAACAAGATCAAAATAAGACGACCCACATTGGTGGAGGAACATTCCAATTTCTAATCCCAAACTACGGAACAACCATTCACAAACTTCTATTTTTTTCAAATCTCTCATCAACCAATCACCGCTCGTCTCACCAACGTTATATATACAGCCAAAATTAGACCCACACATACGCATCTATGATCTATGTGTGTGTACGTTCAAAATTTCGAACGCCGCAAATCAACCATTCGTAAACTTTATTTTTTTTTCTAATCTCCTAACAGCCAATGAAAAGCCGGTACCACCAAGGTTGCGCACGAGTGGCCAAATTAGACGCACACATGTGTATTTATAACGATACACACTTTTGTTTGTGTTGCTATTAGCATTTGAATAGGTGTCGACTGACTACGTCGTTAGAATAATTTATTAGTTTGTTTGTACATAACAATAATAATAATGCGTTTTGAAGGTTGATGTTCGGTACTATAGCCTAACTTGGCAAGTATTCCCAAGTGTACGTACAGTCAGCAAAAAATGAATTTTTGTTTTAACATTTACTGTGCGAACACATTTTTACTTCCTATCCTTATCATAGGATAAGAATTTGACTTTTATGAGTGTCTGTCGATCGACCGATACTATTGTATATGTCACGATATAACCGTTTCCCCGTGACCACGGCTGCTGCAAATCATCCAAAACGTCGTGCCGAAGTTAAAATCATTTTCAAATAAGTTTAACTAATATATCGCGTTTTAAACCGTTAAAGTGTTTTATTTAAATGTCCACTCACATGTTTATGTATAACAGATCTCATTACAAATCCAAAGCAAATAAAACAAAAACCCGGCGATTCCCAGGCGAAATGTAGGGTATTTTATAAGTTAATTTGGAAAGTGGTCGCAACATTGTTAGGAGAATAGCGGACCGGACCGTGTATTAGAAAGCTTACACTCGCCGGCATAACGAAAAGTTCGGTAAAATTTGCAGGTAAGATTTAAATAAAAACCTTTAACTCTTTAAAACGTGATAAATATTAGTTTAACTTATAACTTATTTGAAAATAATTTTTTAACTTCCGCCTGGCGTTTCGGATGCTTTGCAGCAGCCGTGGTCACGGGGAGACTAAAGATGGAGGATGTCTCCGACGTCAAAGTAAAAATTGCTACGCCAGCGCCATCTGTTCCAGAAATTTGGTATTTGGCCCACCACGCTAGTCCAGTCCGGGTTGGGAGGCTTTAAAGACCCTACTACTAGAATCTAGAATCACTCATAGTGACTTCACATTACATCAAAGCGACGGAGGGGGGGGAGACAAACACCGTCTACTCTCAAACTCTGAGGTTGTGTAGCAAAGTCCCGTCACATTTCTGTGCCGTTTTACAGAATGGCTCTACGAGCGTTACACGCAAGTACTTTGTGCCTTTCCTTGCTGAAACAATCGATTGTTTCCCCGGGATTCGAACTCAGGACCAACGCAATGCTGGCAACGCGTCAAACTCCGAGAATATAATACATAGTATCTCTACGTATATAGAGATAATATTTCGATCGACCTAGGATTCGAATCCACCAACATCGCAGGCAAGCAAAATAGGTCAACGTATAAAAACAATGTAGTCGTTTGACATCTACAGACTGAAACACACTTCAAGGCTTTGCCATCTGTGCATGGTGAAAGTGGTCCATCGAGGAATTCCGAAATTCCTACCATCCCATTTCATATCCCACTTTCCAGTACAGGTCTAATGTTGAATACTTATTAATTCAGTGTTGCAAATCACATTAGGAAGTTTTCGAGTATTGCTTTATAATTACATCAGGCGTTTTAAATTACGTACAATTATTATAAACTCACGAAATTGTTTGGGAAAAAGAAAAAAATGTCTAAATGCAAAAAACATTATTATATTTATTTTTCAATTTTTAAAAGCCGTAATTAGACGGAACCAAAGTCTGTCTGCCTGCGTCTCTAACAGCGTTTAGAACCGTTTGAAGTGTTTTATTTAATGTGTCCACCCTCGTAATCTACAGATTAAAATTATTTAGATATTCGTATCATATTTTTACTGGCTCAGTAGCTGAATCCTTAAACGTGTCGCTTGGCATTGCGAGACGTCCTGGATTCGAATCCCGGGGAAGAATATATTTTTTCCGTCGTAAGACACAAACGTCTGATCAACTCCTTGCCTGTAAACTGATTCAGTTTGGACACACAAATGTGTTGGCCCCATGCCCCTCGGGGGGAAACGGGATTTCATTTCACATCATACATTATATTTAACAATTTACCTAAAATTATACGTAGACCAATGTGTGTATGTAATTAAGAAAAAATAATAACTTGTTTCTATTTTATACCTCTTGTATCTGCAGAACTAGTAATCTTTTGTTTTTAGTGAAAGACGTTTGATACCATTTTAAATAAAAAACTCGCATTTTGCATACAAATAAATTCTTGAATTACGCGAAAGACTTTTTTCTTTAAAAATTAAAATAAAAATTATATTCATGTAGACGTTTAGTGTCTATTCTTTTACTAGTTCGATATTACGAGGTCTATTAAAAACGCCCTTTGAAATTAATACTTACTAATTTATTAACTACCCTCTAGATAAAAATCTAAATTACGTCAAAGTGATGGGTTTACCTAATATGAAAATAACGTTTTAAACCGTTAGTGTTTCATTTACATGTGTACAGACAGTGTACAACTGACAGCTGTCAGGTTCAACACCTTCACAAATGTCATTGAGGACACAACACTAGTCCACCTAAGACCGAGGTGATAAAAACAGAAAATTTTTGGCGAGAATCAAACATGTCCGGCAGTGTAGAGCAGCGCTCTCGCAATTTTTACGTGTAATTATCGCCGTCTGTCAGTGTTGCGCGCTGACGCGGCACATTTGTCGGCACGATACAAGAACCCGCACCCATTTAGTGGGAAACGAGATGAGCTAAGCCGAATCTAATAAAACTTTAATTCGATTTATCTTCGAAATTTCAATACGGCATTCAAGGATCACCTTGACACTCAAAGGGATTTTTTTTAATAGAAGATTTACTAAGGGAAGGAAGGTAGCAGTAATAAAGCTGCGTCTAGAACATTCTCTGAAAATTATATTAAAAGGAGCAAAGGGTTGTACCATACTCGTATGTACACAATACTCATTGTAAGGAGGTAGATTTTTCGCTTTATGTTTATTTATTTATACTTTATCACAATTAACCAAAAAATAATATCTGTGAACTATAGAGTGTAACGCGCGGCCTTATCGCTATTAAGCAATCTCTTCCAGGCAACCCTTCTTACGAAAATGATGTAAAACAAATTAAATTCGGGGAAGGAGGTGAATATTATTTATAAAGGGTAACTTTGAAAGTTGGAATAAGTTGTAGATAGATGTTTATAA